TATTGTAAAGTGATAATACATGTACGTCGTCGACATTGAAGGCCACAGCAAGTAGGATATTTTTCTTCTTTTGCAAAGCATTTGATAAATTTTGCTTCATATGAAAACAAAATAAGTCTGCTGATAACGGGGTCAAATTGGTTCTTGGAAGACCTGGTATAAATGTAGATACATGTATTGTCAATCAGAAAGTCAATCAGAAACTTAACATCAGAGTACTTGTGTGTACAGTCAGAATGATTTTTAATTTTTTTCTATTTGGAAATGAACAATGAAAGAGGCTTGGTAGAACATTTACTGGAACCTGCTTTTTGTATCTTTGTTTGTATGAAGTTCCGAAATCCAATATACATGTAGATATGGTAATTCAAATTCCTTCTGGTTGTTAGGAATATTAAAAAAAAAATTAAAACTGACGTATGATTTTGAAGAATTTCCTCCTTGGAAAGGGGGCTGTGGATATAACTTGGAATAGAAAATTCAAAGATTTGTTGTTTTTTTTTTAAATCCCTAATTGCCCCCAAGTTGAAAAATGGAAATTTCGAAACCTTACTGCACAAGACGCCACCAATTACATTCCTAAAGATAAGATGAATATTGCCAAAAATATTTTTTTGCATACGTTTGTGTTCTACCAATCATGCAAAGGTAAACTACGATTTAAAATGTCAGAATAACATGAGGTTGAAGAAAGTGTGACAGGCAGACCTGAATAAAAACAATACACCCGAACTCTCTTTAGGAAGTGTGGGATTAAAAAGGTGTTAACTGTTTTCTTTTTATCTCTCCGAAATTTCACACTGTCTTGGATCTTTCTAACATGGGAATTCGTCCTTTTTGTTCTACATGTAGTATTTCATTTCCTTCAATCTATCTTCCATCAAATCAAAAGCAGTTTATCATTAACTTTACCCAGTTATCTCTCTTGGCATTTTGAACATTTCCGAGCTCTTTTAAGAAAAAATCTATAGAAATCAAATATTCTATGTTTAATTGCATTGAACATTCGAAGCAGTAACGTTAGAATCATACCTTGGTATTCTTGGGGTGATTTTTTATCCTTTTGAAAACAGTAAAGAATTTTCTTTTTCTTGCTTCATTTTTTGCCCGTAATATTCCGTGACTCTTGAGTTTGGTATTCTACTTTTAATGAGCCGATTCTCAGCTGGATTTGTACAAAAGGACCTACGACTTAAGACCAAGTTTAAATATTCATATAACTTTTTAACAAACAATATATCAAAAATTATTTTTAACTTTTTAAAAAGAATATGGTAAGATATTATTAATATATACATTTTTTTTAAACATAATTATTAATTTTAAGGAAAATTAATTACAAATAATACATGAATATTCTTCCTGAATAACTTACAATACAATACAAAAAGATCGGGGAAAAGAGCTTCCCTTTTATTTGTTTTTTTTCTCTCGGAAATTTGACTTCGAAAATAAAATAAAAATTGAAGTTAAAAATAACCTTGTATATGGATTCAAAAAAAAAAAAAAAAAACCTTTTTAAAAAAAATTAATTTCTGTTTAGAAATGATTTTGAATGATTTTAAAAGATTCCATTTTAAAAAAAATTCTTCAATGTGCTAATAATAAAACCTTACTTATAACATCTGAAAATGCTTTAGAATAAAATAAAAGAACATTTTAATAATTTTAAATACTTCAATGGACCATAAATCCTTCAATACTTTTACTGATTATGAAACAACATTTTACAAACTTATGTCTAAGACTATTTTACTTATTATGCATGTGTATTTGAAAATACATTGACTTTTTTCTTATTTAGGCTACAAATCATTTTACTAATTTTTCATTGAATTATTTCAATGGAAAAAAAAACATATACCATATATACTTAAATGTTCCTTTAAAAAATATTAACTTTTTTCTGCTTTATAAGATAATTTTTACATACTTATATCTAAAAATACGTCAATAGATTACAAAGCTATATTTAAATCACTTTTCCAGCAGAATAAACTTTAAAAAAAATCATTTTAATATCAAACACTTCAATGGATTTTTAAGTCGAAGGAAATTTATTTCCTAGTGTCTAAACCATCCTTCAATGGTCTCTGAAAGAATTCTGAGTAACTAAATGCCTAACAATACTTCAATGGGCTATAAAAGTACATTTGAGGATGCGCAAAGGGAATTTCTGAAAGTCACTTTGACAAACAATTTTTGAGAATTTGAGATCAATGAGATCAACGAGATGCAGAGTAGCATGGCATTAATGGGTTAGGGTAACCCACACGGGGGCATTGAGTGCCCTACTTTATACCATCAATGACAGTTTCCACTATTATGAAACTTCAGGGGTCATGACCGATGTTATAGCTAATACTGATAACAGGAGTGATAGAGGATGAAATGTTCTATATTATTTTGCTCTTACGCCAAGAATAGCGAAGAGAGATTTTCTGGTATCAGATACCATTAAATAAACAGTAAAACTAAATCTTGTATTGATTTGAAGCACGTTAAAAAACATCGATGTATACATAAATATTGGTATACAGAAAATGAAGTCACTGAAATGGGTGTTTGACAAATAAGTTGAATGGATTTTGTTAAAAGTCAACGCTGTGCGCTAATTGTTTTGATATTCTAAATACATAATTTAAAACTAGAATATTGGTTCGGGTCGCTCCCACATTTTAGCAATACCTATCGGTACTTAAATATACATATTTAAAAATTTTGATTGAAAAAATTTGAAATCTTACGTGTCATATTGTAAACATATTTGTTATAAGTTTTCAATTTGGTTTTCAATTTGTTCATGATTATATAGCAACATGAAGAAGTAAATCGTAAATCTTTTACAACCCTAAATAGGAGTATAATCATTATGCATTTTAATTGTTATTGTAAATACTATAGTTAGCAGATTGAAAGTGACCCGCGGTAAATCAGGGTCACCCCGATACGGTCCACTGACGCTGACCCCTTCCTGTTTTTTTTTTTTATTTTGTGGTTACGCCTGCATAATACCAAAGACAGAACGCTTGACCCCATCAAAGTAATCTTTACAAAAATAGTATTGACCTCAAGTTCACCACTATCTCCGGAAAAATAAAATGTTTTGTCATTGTAAAAGTAAGAGGCTAAACGTTTGTTTTGCTAATAATAACCATTCTGTTATTGTTAAGATTTTAAATAATATTTTCAAGGACGAATTTCCATTCATTTTCATTCATTATTTTTTTCTCATTGTGGCAGACATACAATGTATAAAATTTGGTTACACTCTGCATGGCATACCGTTTCAGTTAATCAACAGCGTTGACCTTTTGACTTCGCTTGACCATTATGGACATTTCAATACGGGTCCCATCCCCAGGGGACGCCCTGGTCAACACCATTCCATTGATGCTCTTCCTGCTTTTTGTAAATCTGACCGACCATTTTAGACATGTGTAATGATACGGCTATCAAAGAATAAATCAAGGAGAAGGTACTTATAACTGACTCCTCCTTAAATTTTTTCCTCCAAATTTAGGCGGGTGGGGTTAAATACACTGTAGAGAAATTCAGAAAGAATTTATTAAGGCATTATATGATTTTAATGTGACTCTCAAGTAATATGTAAAATATGAGCGTTATATCTGTATTCGCTGAGTTTTCAATCAACAGATTTAAAACCGCAAGAATTACAAATTGCAAATTCAATTACAACTTAAAGTTTTAAAACAACTTAATGTATGAAGCTTATACTTTTGACCTTTTAAAAATGTTAACCCCTTAAGGATATCCGATCCTCAGACATGAAGGATAACTCTTTTAATAAAAAAAAAGTCTCGAAATGAAGCTTTAAATTGAAATCTTTCCGTGCAACAATATTCATATATTATGCGTTTCAATGTGATTCAATGTACTTTGAATTTCTTCGATACGGTCCTAGAAGAATTGATATTTGTACCCCATAAAATCGAAATTTGTTTCATCATTAGTTTGAGTATTTTATAAACTCAGTATATTAACCAATCTCGTGTTAACTTTTGAATAAATGTTATTATTTCACGAATTAGGCAAAAAAGATATATTTGCAACAGTATTTTGATTTACCTTCATCGTATTTAGGGTACCCGTTTAAAAAAAAATCTGGGAAGAGGTCATTAAAATCACCACAAGTTATACTGTGCTGTTCGTAATTTGATAAGGTATAATTCCATAGGCGTCGGAACCGGAGGGGCTAGGGGGGGGGGGGGGGCTTAGCCCCCCCCCCACTTTTTTTCCAAATATATACTTAGTATAGACATTGAACATATCTTCGTAGGTTTAGCCCCCCCCCACTTTTGGTACTGGAGTTCGAACCTCCCCCCCTCCCCCACGAAATAGGATTTTCATGTTTGGGAACTAGACATTTCCTTTTTTTTTTTTGGAAGGTTTTTTTGAAGGTACAAAAATTTTTTTTTACACTTAGCCCCCCCACTTTCAAATAGCTTCCGACGCCAATGAATTAATAAGCCTACCAAGTTGTAAATTGGTAGGTAATAATGTATAAAGACAAACTTCGATAAAATAGTGTTCTTTCTAAGGTCAACAAAGACACTTTTTCAGATTAAAAGAACATTCAGGTATCCGATACACAATACACCTCTATCAAATCGATCAACTTCAGAATATGTCGTAGAAAAGAGAAATACTTGTTCCTGGTTCTGAGTATATGTCACATAAGCACTTCAAGGCTGTTACATATTTTCTGTGATAATATCAATGCAGGAAGAGCTAAAATATGACGGCGCCAATTTGTAGTAAAATTTTATTTCCTTTAATCTAAAACAAAATTGCATATATTACAAAATATTATAAAAACCTGAGCAGCTTAACCGGTAACACATACACAATAATATCGTACAAAGAACTACATGTAAACTAGATCATTGTCCTACAAAACTGAGGTAGATTGTGACAGAGGTCTGGATTTCACATGTAAAAAAGAACATACACACAGAAATGAGTATTAAAAATGCTTCAACAAGTTCATAAAATTTTGCCTCACTGATATCGCACCCGCCACAGTAAAACAGTTCATATATAAATATACTGATAATCGGACTTAATTGCTTGAGGTGTGTGTGTGTGCGTGTGTTTCTGGCGCTCAAACTACTTCAACAGATACCCGATTGATTTTAGACCGTAGCAGCTCTATCGCGGTTTTGGTTTAGTCTCTGAAATACCATTGGCAAATCGTCTGACGGGTGTGGCACTGGCAAGTATTTTATTTTGGGATTTACGTTCTTAACATGCCAACAAGAACTTCGACAAATTTCGATAACGAATACTTTCAGCATAAGCAGTGCAAACTCTTTTCCAGCACAGCCTTTTTTACCTCCTCCAAAAGGAAAGAAATGTTCACGGTCATCGATTTGAAGAGAGGACCATCTGTCGGGGTTGAATACTTCCGGTTTGTCGATGAGAGGACTGGTTTCATGAGAATCTCGTATGCTGTACACGATACTCCATCCTTTTGGTATTTGATAACCCTGGAAAAATAACAAAAGTGAAAAAAGATAATTCCTATAACTATTGAAATTATGAAAAAAATGGGAAGAAAAATGGCAGGTTCAATTTACCTCTATCTCGAGTGTTTGAAGAGCTTTTCTGTAACCTCCTCCGATTGGTGGGGATATTCGCAGGCCTTCCTTCACCACATTTCTTACGTACTTTAATTTGTTAATTCGTCCAAGATCTAACGCAGAATTTCTGTTATCCAGCAAGCCATTCAAGGCAAGCTCTTCGGTGATCTTGAACAGGACTTCAGGGTTTCTTGCTAAATTGAGAACCAACGTGCTAGCGGCGCTTGATGTTGTCTCGTGGCCTGCAAACATCAATTCTAATGCGACATTCTTTGCTTCTTCGATCTCCAACTTTTCTTTTCCTTCAATTCCCATCATAAGACTCAATGCGTCCGTCGATCTTGTATCGGTCCCACCATTTTGTTTCTGTAATATGATCTCTTCAATTTTTTGTAGCATGGTTTCTCGAGCTTTCATTCCCTGTAATATATATAAAAAAAATTTGAAATGTAAACATGTACAATTATGTGCATATATACTTGTATCATGTTATACTATGAATTTACCTTTCCCGAGTAAATTTAAAATTTACAAAATGATACATATCTAAAACCCATTCGAAAAAAAAATGCGCTTTAAATTAGCAGTGTGTTATTTGACAAATTTTACCTTGTCCAGTCCTAGCCCGGGTATTCGAATCGGTATGCTGAAGAGACTAGACATGAAGGTCTCGAACGCACCCAAGAGGCGGCCATGTTCCTCTTTGTTCATTTCAAATCCAAGTAGAACTTGACAGGAGAGTTCGAAAGCCAAACTTCTAAATTCCTTATATCCCAAAATATTTTCCTCGCAGCACCAATTGTTGATATACTTTCTAATAATTGTTTGTGTCAAAACGGCATAGCCGCTCAAGGCATCGTAAGTGAACGCTCGGAGGATGGCTCTTTTGCGAATCGTGTGGACTCTGCCCGATGCCAGCGTAAGACTGCCTTCTCCTAGCAGCATCTGTATGCTTCTTGGCCATTGTGACTCCACAAGAGAGTTTTCACTCATAAGGACTTTCCGTGCATTTGCAGCTCCTATGATTCTAACCGTTGGTTTTCCAAGAATGTGTGTCTTGAAAACACGGCCATGTTTTTCTCGTCTTTTGTCAAAAAATCGTCTTCCCTGTAAAATTTGTCAAACAATGAACAACATTAAAGTAAAAAGATATTTTTATTATTTTAATTAATCAACGGTTGAAAAAAGCACTTGAATTAGAAATATAAAGATATATACTAGTATTTATATATATAAAATAGTTTGTAGATTATTTCAGTGGAACATACTCGTATTGTTTATGTGCTTTGAGCATTTCTGTTTATGTTGAAGACATTGATGTCAATTTATATACATGTACTCTAAATCTTGTCCTCAAACCTGTCGATTTCTGGGTCATGTGCACCTGAGGAAAAACTTGCGTAATTTTTATCAGTGACCACGGTGGGTATTATTTACCAAACGTCTCTTTGCTTATTTTCAATACCAGATAAAATTCATTGTGGTTATTGAAGCTAAGCAAATACATCAAACATTGTATATTGATAAAGAATGGAAAGAAAATGAAAAATTTTTGAAAGGATTTTTTTTTAGAACCGATATGTTTGTGTACTTGAAAAATGTATTAATAATAATCATATAGACTTCTTTTAGGTAATTACAAATCTGCTTCCCGAATCTTTGCGTGTGAATTAGCTCATTTGAGTCGTTTGTCGTTTTATACGTAATATTGCCGTAAGCTAGAAAAACGCGACATTTGACGTCAATGGTTCGTCTGATGACCTCAGCATCGAAGAGCAGCATTACCTGTAACTTTTTCACCTCTCTGGAATTCAAACAACACGGTTCTGACAATGTCGGTATGAATGAAAAGAATTTTCTTTAATTCTTTAAATACCATACCCTCAATACCCTTAAAACTTACGTAATGAAAAGCCTCTTTTACTTGTGTACAACCTTCACCTTTTAAGAGATTAAGAACCTTTAAAATAAAACGAAGGAAATATACCTACCATGAATAAGAATGATACTGTTTCCCCTATGAATGGCACTCCTAGGTCCCCGGGGGGTAGAGGGCAGTGTGACGTAGGGTCCTTAGATGAACAGATGTAGATTTTCCAGAATTTGCAGCATAAGAATATTAGAAGCCATGAAAGCAGCGAGGGATACACGATGTATGTTAGTCTTCTGAATATTAAGAATATATGTACGTAACTGAAAAAAAGAATAAAAAAAAAATCTCATTCGTTAAACATATATTCATTATAAGAAAAAGCGTTTCTTGAGAAATTTAAGCATTTTTGGATATTAAGATATGATAGTTTTAAACATTTTTTTACGAAATGAGGAAAATGGGAGAAAAGAAAGAAAAAAAATGAACGCCATTTATGAATCAATCAAATTTAAAATAAAATGATGATGCCTTTTTTTAAAAATAAATATTTTATTGAAGTTAAACACATTTTTTTCATGTTTATAAAAAGGTTTATATTTTTTTGACATAAATTTTTACTTACTTTATTTCGGATAAATTTTCTTCTTTGGGCAACAGTAGCCGGCATGTTGAATTTGTGGGACATAGAACCTCGGAGGTTGAGTTTACCCAGCGCCAATCAGTCGCCTCCATGACTTGCCCGCTCAGGTGAAGGATAAAAACAGTTCTACTACCAGAGTGCTAAGGCGTTTATATACACTGACCAATTGACCGACCAGTTCGCTCTTTTAACAATCGGCACCACGTAATAACAGTGGAAGGGAGACCTCGGTCAAAACAATGACTAGGAGAGGCCGCAGGGGCGGGCTTCCTTATTGGAAAATACCATGTCCATGTTTTAATATTCATTTTTCTAAGCGTTTATCCCAATGATCTTAAACGAAAATGTTCCTTGCTTCGTAATTAAAACAAAGAACAATCTCTTTGGGTTTTTTTTTTCATGTTTTTAAAGCAAGAAAAAAAATTCTATGAAAAAATTCGAAAATAAAAAAAATGCTACTGAAGTTTATTCATCACTGAACATGAAATCACAAACTTATATACGTTGCAAACTGGATATACTAAATTAAAGTTTAAAATTTTTATCGACCCCTCTTTAGGCCCCTTGACCACTGCTGCTGAGGTTCGGTCCATCGCTTCCTGAACTGCTGACCTCTCAATAAGGGACAGCTTTTGACCACGCCAATTCATTGATACGGTGATTAATATCCATGATTTTCCCGCCATTTTTTCAGGAGAGGGGGGAGTGTTAAAAATTCCTTTGATGGTCCTCATCGATTTAAATTTGAATGAGTTCAGATAAAAACACGCTTATCTGATAACGAGGTAACATGGGACCCACGGGGCCCAGTGTGTTTGTATTGTAGGGTCATTTCAGGTTTCACTTCAGTTCAAGGTTTCTGTATCAAGATCGCAAACCTTCCCATTCAATATAGATGTCGATTATAATATAAAAAATCAAGAACAGAAATTCACATGAGCAGAGAATTAGTAAAAGATTACATCTTAGTACTTTTAATTGTTCATTCAATTTATTTCATAATTTTTAAGAATAAACAAAAAATATAACATGGATTGCAAGTTAAATGATAAATAAGTTCAATAAGAGTGGAATGAAGATTGGTGTCCCACTTTGACCTTCACATTTCCCGTTATCTGATCTGACCTCAATTATCACTAGTATATATACATCACTGCTGGGGTCACACTTACTAGGATTTATATGTCAATGTGTACTTACTAAGTAAGGCACCGGAATGTACACCTGGCGGTTTGAGTGTGTACATAATCAGATAAACGTTTCCAACCTGTCAAGTATCGTGAAATACCAGAATATGATATTCATCAGGTTAGAAAAACCCAAATATTGTTTCTCTGGACAATTTTTTCTTCATAATACTTTTAAAGGACGTGTCATACTTATTTTCAAAATTTATGGATCTTATCATCAAAAGAAATAATCCAAAACTTGAAAGGGTTAACAATTGCGGGAGGAGGGGTGGGGGTGTATGTGTTAAAACGCTTGATCGTTCGTCGTTCAGAATCATACAATTATATTTCATTTCGGAATTATATATATAAAGAAAATTATATAATATCCCAGAGCCTAAAACGACTATTTCACCATGAGCAAACAACTCTTATTACTATGTAGAGTAAAAAAGGGTATTTTCATATACAAAAAAAATATAATTTTATACACCTTTTGACTGGCTTTGAGGATAATTGCAACTTTATTCTCCTCTATAGACAAGAAAAAAAGTTTGGTTAGCTAGTTCGTCAAATTACCAAAAATGCAAATCAAAGTTCAGAGAAAGTTTTTGGCATTATGTTCATGACCCTAGTTCACTTGATAGACTTATTAATACCTTCTAACACGATCTGTAGACATTTATGGCAAAGAAAGCGTTTAGAGCCTCCGATCTGGCTCTGTGTATTGTTACAGTCAATTCTTAATTGAAATTAATTTTAATTTACTTTGTAAATTAAACATTCATATAATATATATTTCTCTTTCTTAAAAATGCACCAGGAAACAGCAATTCACAAAAAGTGAATTATGTAAAGCTCGAAATTAATTTGTCCAAAGTTCAGCCAGCTTTCTTTCTTTTTTTTTTCCTGCTAGGAATGATCAAAAATACTTTTTTACTCATTTTGTTAAAGTTTGTTTTAACAAATTTTATCTTTATATAATATAACGAATTTAAAATGAATTCGATTAAACGATTTTTAAATTTTTTTTATATGAAGTAGGGGATGAACTTCATTTTCTTTTAAAATGTAATCTGTATAAAAACTGTGGACAGCTAGGATTTTCTAAGAAATATTGGAATTTCAAATTTACATAATAATGTTTCAAATGTTTTTATTTAAATATTTATTAACTCATTTCCCAAACTGCTATAGCTTTATATATAACGCATATAATATAAAACAAAGAAAAATCATGCGATGTATAGACATTGTATATTGCTAAAAGTGACTTAAAGGTCCGATGGACAGGGTGTTGTACATATATATTTTAATGAATGTAAAATTATATACACAAGTCACTATAGTAAAATACTTACTTACTTACTTGTTATAATGAACAATATTCGTTTTAAACGAATATGCCAATTTGTTCTTATTCAAATTCATCGACAGGAAAAAATTTTAATTCGTTCTAAAAACTTTAACAATTAAATTGAAAAATATTTTTTACAGGTCCTAAATGGAATTCCGTTTTTAGAAAAGAATTTTAAAATGATGTTAAACAAATAAGACCAATGTATTCAATGCACAATTTTTTTTCAAAGAATATATCTATTTTACAAAATCGCTATCTTACGTTTTAAAATGCTTTTAATTTTTAGTTTTGAAACCCAAATTCAAACATGATAAAATCACATATTAAAATCGTGAAGTAAAGTTAAAATAGCGATTCAAATCAATTGCTCCTTTTCGTAAGACCATTGGCATTAATGCCAAATCATTCCCATGCTTATTTTGCATTCAATTTTAGAGACATTCACAATGGAAAGAAGATGTAGCTGACGCAAATGAGGAAAACAAGTTTGGTAATATACCTATTTATTGAAAAAAACTGTGAGAAAATGTTTTTGTTATTTCATTTATTTACGCTCAATACTGTATGGAAATAACTTATAATGACTATTTTCGTGTTGAAAATTTATTGGAGCGTGAAAGGTTTCCCCTTTGATTTACCTTTATCCAATATGTAGGTATATTTGTAGATATTTAAGGTCTATAGGGGTGAAAGCAGGGTTACGTTTATGCAATCACACAATACCTCACCACGAGGACAGGCAAAGGTCAATCTTGTATCTTAAAAAAATGGCGCCCCGGGGACCCTCTCTAATCCTGACCAATTAAACAAACAGTGTGACTGCACTGTAAAAAATGTGTTTAGGATCTAAACATTTTTCTAAACACTATTCATGTAGACAGATTTTTAACATGTTTAAATTCTAAACACATTTAAATTCTAAACATGTTTTGAAATGTGTTTAATTTCTAAACATGTTATAAGACTCATGTTTAGAAATTAAACATGTTGAGAATTAAACATGTTTAGGGTTTAAACATGTTAAATACACACTCAATTTTGATATTATATCCTTGTAATATTTTAATTTGTCCAGTTTCACTGCCATGACTATACAAATCACTAAGAATTGCAGAAATATTACATTTTATTTTTTAAGAAGTTTGATATGGAAAATAAGGTTTTAAAATAATGTTAGATGCATTCCATTTACTAACATGACTGTACTAAATACAGAGTTTATAAATATTTTTTGACAAAATAATGACATGTAATTTAAGAAAAATAATGTCTGATATATTCAAATTGACAGATGTACAAAGTCCATAGGATATTCACTGAATGTCAATGAAATGGAGTGTCACTCATCGAATTCCTTTGTGAATTTCAGATAGTTGAAACTCTTTGCAAATTTATTTTCTTTATCGTCCAAAACATAAAACTGAATAAACCCAAGAATTTGGAAATACTTTGGGTACGACAAGTCCCAAGAATAATAGCAGAACAAAAGCTCAGTAAGAGCTTTTTTCAGATCCGTTGAACACAATATCTCCAACCCCCCTCCAATGATAAAGCAGTTCATGATGTTTTTCTGTCCATCCTGAACCACCAGCAACCTCGGAGGGTCATCTCTTTTGGTCTTTAATGTCATGTCGCTTTTCTGTTTAAAAGATAAAATACAATTCAACAAATAAATTTAAAAATCCCTAAACTGTTTCAATAAAAAATTACATGGATAAAGGTTTTATCTAATTACTTAAGTATTGTCAGATAATCAAAGGGTAAAGATATACAAGATTTCTTACACACATACACACCCTGACACACATATACTGTACATTCCTTATCTTTCCCAAGTACTTATTTTTACAAAATGGTTCTTTAACAAACCACGAAAGTCAAGTTGCGAGAGTTTGTGTTTGCGAATGGATGAATGATCATGAGAATTTACATGGATTTCAGCAACATTAAAACTAATATTTTATTTGGCTAGTGATGCTTCTCGCGAAATTACGTTAATTATTTCCTTGTGTTTAATAAGGAATTTACAGTATATGCATATACGTATAAATAAACCTAAATGTATATACCTTACACACAGTAATCAGGGGCTGTTTGATCCCCTTCTTTTGTTGGCACTTGATCTTTTCTTCAAGGTTTTGCAGAAGGTTCAATACGTCAATCTCTCTATCGTTTTCCCTGTCGTCTTCCTTTCAGTAAAAAATGGTTCAATTTCTAAATCTGATATATGATGCTTAACATTTCAAAATAATGATAATTGTATAAAATGTTGAAGGTGAACATCAAAAAATTTCTGAATGAAGGAGAACAAAAGATAAGGTCATCATAGTACATGACATCGTTTACCTCATCAGCAGATCGCCCCAATAGTTCGTCTAATTTCTGCAAAACATCAAGCCAGCGATCTGCATAATTCTGCAGGTCTGGTTTCATTAATTTGAACTCTTTTTCAATCTAAAAAAAATTAGAATTTATTTTACTTGAAAAATTTCAATCTAAAGAAATCAGCATTTACTTTTTTTGATAGCGTTACTATTGATCAAGTACCGGTAGTATTATAATTTATATATTACATTTAATATTAAAAACAAATACTTACAAACTCCACAATACCCAGGAAAGGATACTTTTTTATCAGGTCCCCGCAATTCCCATTGTGTTTCCTTTCTATGAAGGTTCTCCTGACATGAAATGTTGCTCGTTGAGCTTTTGCCACCAATGCCCGATCAATCATTTTCACTGGTTTCTTAAATTCTTGCAAGAGTTTCTTTTCAGCCTCATCCACATTCATATCCTCTATAATATAAGATACAGAACTTTTGATATTGACAACAATGTGAAAGAAGTGTTTAACAGTATCATTTTAATGTTTTTGTTCAAACGGAAACAATTAAATTCATACCATCCAAAACTGTAGCTTGAACTCTCTTCATCCTTTTAGCATCAGTCACAGGGGGGGCCTTACTCCTTGCATTCCACCTCCACCTAATATTTCTAACCTTCTGTGATAATTTCTGATTGAAAAAGGTCTACAAGAAATTAATAATTCTTTTTTTATACCTTATTCTTAGAGGAATTTTAAACAAGATAGTTCTAAGTACATATATAAGTGTAATTTATTAAAGTACAAACCCAGGGCTCCTTAAGTGACTTATGG